GAAGAAGATGGCTCGTGGACAAGACTATGATAGTGGCCTAGATTCGGATTTCGCCGATCTAGTGCCACAGATCATCATAAGCGATGACGATGATGAGCAGCAGCAAGCACCAGGACCAGGACCAGCATCAGCACCACCACCACCACCACAACAGCCACTACAGCAGCTGCTTGGCGCGTATGAGGAGGTGGTGGTGCTCAAAGGAGAGCTGATGGATGATGGAGGACTGGTGAAGGTTATGACCTTGACAACAAAAACCTTCAAGTACAGCACCGGTGAGGAGTTCACCAACGTACACCTCTTCACTAATATTGAAAATCATTTAATTTAAAAAACAACAATGTATATGTATATACATATATACATGTATAATCCAATACCTCTCTCTCTCTCTCTCTCTCTCTCTCTCTCTCTCTCTCTCTATCTCCTCTCTCCTTGTTTTTTTTCCTTCTTTTTCATAACATGTTGTATAAAGTTTTCTGATAGTGCAAGTGGCGTTTGAATATTTTTGGTGCAAGTAGTTGTATATAGTTGTAATTATAGTACTGTGTTTGTGTGTATGTGTGTGTGTGTGTGTGTGTGTGTGTGTGTGTGTGTGTGTGTGTGTGTGTGTGTGTGTGTGTGTGTGTGTCTACCAATCAGAATAAGGATCATCATCATCGCCATAATTATGATGTCTTTTTTTTTTTTTAAATAAGAGTGATCATCATCATGGTGAATATTTCAATGTGTTTGAAATTATTTTAAGACAAAAAAATGTGCTCTGAGAAAATACTAGTGTGACAATTATCGAATATTGCTGTGCATGTCACAAGTAATGTTTTGCTTTACATTATGATGGGCATGAACATATATTGTAATAATTACAATAAACAAAAAAATAAATAAAAAAACAATTACCAGTACACACTAGGTCAGGGTTATGAATAATGAGAGAGTTAGGAAAATAGTTCACAGATGGCATCATCATCATCATCCTCATTCACATCAGCTGCATTAGACAAAATCCACTTCTCGCGGAAAGTTGTTGCCAATCCAGAAATTACGTCACTGGGAATGTTGAGAACATCACTGTCCTCCTCAGCGATGAAGTCCCGCACAGCCATTTTGGTTTGATGGACGCGCGCCACGGGCAGCACTCCAACGGTGAACTTATACAGGCCATCCTTCTTACGCCAAGATGCAGTTGCAGGGTAGACTACGTACTCGGCGTTCTTGTTCAGACGGAATGCCTTGATGGGCACAGCGCTTGTCCCCTTGACATAATTATATCTCAGTAGTGTTGACAGTGTCAGTTCCATCACAGCCAGGCTCTTCATTGTCCTCCACGTCGTCGTCGTCACACTCATCATCTCCATCATCCTTATCAGATTTGCTGGGGAAGAAGTTTGTAGACACTCGGTGAACCCTAGACGAGGACATTGCTCTTCTAGCTGATGGAGATGTCTTCATAATATCTGTGATGACTTCGGCGATATCTTTCCTGATCTCAACTACAACTTGACTGAACTTAGATTTACGAGCTTTCCCCATTACCTTGAAGCCTGCTAAAGCCCCCTCGGTGTAGTGGTGAGAGGTTCCAGGATTCAACTGGGGGTAGAACCTACCTCGAGTCTTATGCTTCGTCTGAAGACCAGCCTCAACACCATTGGCAATAACGAGTGCTGAGTTAAGTACATCCTCACAGGAAAGATTTCTCAAACGTTTTTTTTAATAGTAATTAAGAGATAAAGGTTGTGTTAACAGCGAGTAGACAGAGCTAGAGACCAACTTTTACAAAGCTTTCTAGGAAATGAAGAAGGATGTTCACGTACGTGTTTATATACATGTAGACCACAGTGCTCTACAACAAATGCATACTACATGTACTACCATGAAAGACAACCCGTCAGTTAATGAGTCACACCTCCTAAAATACCCCTATGACATCATACCGTAGAGCTAGTTCTAATTAGTCTGGCAATACCTAGAAGTTTCCAGAACATCGTGATTCCATTTCAGAACACATTACCAGACAGTGACTCTTATTAACAACCACACCCACCACTTTAAAAGCACTTATGTCGCCGAGAGGCACTTCAAAAACCACTTAATCATTAATCCAATTTTAAAAATATGACACCTGGGCCACTTCAAAACCACTTCACATCTCAAGTGGCCACTTCATTACCGCTTATCCAATTAAAAGGTTAAGTGGCCACTTAATTAACAACCGCAGAGTTCAAGTACCCATTCATAAGGTCAAGTGGGTTCAACTCTGCGCCAGGTCCGGCTCGGTCCCTACTACTCCGAACGAAGCCTAGAGGAAGAAAATCACCCTCTCCACTTCACCATCACGATACTGACATAGATACAAGATGAAACAACTAAAAAATCCACAAGAAAACTGTACGGCCATCATCGCGCTGACTTTGGTCTGAGAATTTCTATCACGATTAAAAATGTACGAGGAGCACTCAAAAATAAGCCACAGACGTACCTTTATCGCTCTCTACTCCTTTTTCAAGGCACAAAAGTCGACTCTCCACTTTCAAACTAGGAACCAGACATACCAGTGGTCCTTTTCAGCTGCTCCACGAGCGCAGGAAATGTTCACCAAGGGGCGCAGAGCAGCATCCATTGCAGAAAAAGAGCTAAAATACGAGTGAGACTGCATGACTGAGTACATGAGTACATGTATGAGTACATGCAGAAAATAGTCAATTTCAGCGTTTCTGCTCCAAACAGCAACTACACTAGTAGCTTCGACTAGAAACAAAGATTACACCAAAGGATCAAACACCAACCATTTTCTGCAGTTTTTTGCAGATGGCTTCCTTGTGCTTGGCCCAGCACGCCAAAAATCACACCTCGGAGGAGTACAAAAATTACAACTCTCAGATGTCCTCGATTGCTGGCAGAATGAAAGCCTTGGAAGTGCACAAATACAGCCACGGGCGCCACAAAAATTGGACGACCGCCACAAACAAATTCTCATTGCTCTACCTCTTTGAAGGGTGAAAGTTACCAGTTATCCTATAACGATGTCAGTTTATGCCTGTTGGAACCCCCCCCCCCCCCACAGCCCGCACGAAATACCTTTCAAATCAGGATGCAATTGCAGCTCCAGACAGGAGGAAGAAGAACACCGTGAAAAATAACGGCAAAGATGCCCAAACTCTCGGGAAACGGCTGAAGTCTTCCTGAAGATGTTAACATTGAATAGCCATCCATTACCAGCGTGGTTTGGTGACTTTAGAACTGTTTTGAGACTTAGAACGAAGCGATATCTCAAATTTGATGGAATTGTTACCTGTCAAATGCGTGGGCGAGCAGGCCAGCTGACTGGTTATGCATGAGCATGCATTGATTTTTCATGGTTCACGTGCAGAAAACTAAGTTGCCGCGATCCAAGTGCAGCTAACAGCCTGCAGAGCAAAGTCCCATCCCATTGTAATACATATTACTAGCCCCATCCCTCACACAAACAAGTCAACAAAGAGGCATCTTTGGATTGAGGAGTGCTGGTTTCGAAACAACTGGTTTGAAGCTCAAAGTAGAGCTGGTGTTAACTCAGAGCAGAGCTGGTGTTAGCTCAGAGCAGAGCTGCTATTAGCTCAGAGCAGAGCTGCTGTTAGCTCAAAGTAGAGCTGCTGTTAGCTCAAAGTAGAGCTGCGGTTAGCTCAAAGTAGAGCTGCGGTTAGCTCAAAGTAGAGCTTCGATTAGCTCAAAGTAGAGCTGCTGTTAGCTCAAAGTAGAGCTGCTGTTAGCTCAAAGTAGAGCTGCTGTTAGCTCAAGGTAGAACTGCTGTTAGCTCAAAGTAGAGCTGCTGTTAGCTCAAAGTAGAGCTGCTGTTAGCTCAAAGTAGAGCTGCGGTTAGCTCAAAGAAGAGCTGCTGTTAGCTCAAAGTAGAGCTGCTGTTAGCTCAACGTAGAGCTGCAATGCTTAATGGATGTAATATAGCGCAAGGCAGAGCCGCAGCAAATAGCTAGATAACACCAGTTGTGAGAGTGGACCCGATTAGTGGGTACGATAATTATGATGGTGTGAATAAGTTGGATAGGGAGGGATGGTAATTATTTCAAATGGTGAACGGTACTATTCGGCCAATAAAATGTAAAGAACTCTTCCTCTCCTCTCCTCCATGCGCTCTCACAGCCGACTCATCTGCCATTTTCTTGGAACCCCTGGCACTGTGTTGCTGGAGAGGTTAGCAGCTTGTGATTGGATTACTCACCTGCCATTTTCTTGGAACCCCTGGCACTGTGTTGCTGGAGAATTGTAACTTCTCATTCTCACACTTTGCCCGTAATCTTGCCCCCATGTTTTGTAGTATAAATCTGACCATCTCCACCTGATATCATTCTATTCAATATCACCTTCTCTGATGAGCCTTATGAAGGCGAAACAGCTGTCAGGAGGAATTTCAGTATCTACCTGCAACCCTTTCTTGGTTGGTGTGTGTAATGGCTACCGAGGGTAGCAGTGAGTCGGCTGTGAGAGCGCATGGAGGAGAGGAGAGGAAGAGTTCTTTACAGGGAGGGATGGTGGGAAAAGAAACACTGCTGAAGCACGATCCGTTGTCTGGAAGAGCACAACAGGGCAAGCAAGATTTGTTTTTCTTTTCTGCAAAATGGGCTGGTGCCATTTGCGATTACGCAGCAAAACAAAGCGCATGACGTCAGTCTTGAATGCAGTACAAAGCAATGCAGTGCAGTGTGTGCGCTAGTTCGGATTGTTGCTAACAAGTACTACTAGCACAGCTAGTACACCAATAATGAGACTTCGAGTATAACGACACTTCGCGAATAAGGACACCTTTTTGATGCCCCGCCGAGTGTCGTTATAAGCGAAGTAATAGTTGACTGTAACTGCATTGTACTTACTACTTACAGTACACAAGTGCAAGTGGTCCTTTGATGACACAGTACTGGAAAATGACTGTACTATGCCGTCTATGCCACTGTGGTATACTACTACTAGCTAGGTAGAGCTGGACCGCTTTCGCACAGACAGTCAGTAGACTCTTTGCAAAGCAGCCGATCAGATCCGTTTTTCTTCCTCCTAGTACAGCAGAAACTTGTGTACCTAACCGAGATCACCAGTTACCAACTTTCCTTCCGCTCAGTTAGGTAAGCGTGTAGGATGTAAACGCCATAGAATCTCTGTAGTCAGTTCATGTTGTGCTTATTGTAAAATTGTTGATTCCCTTTTTTCAAAACACTGCTAGCGACATTCTGTGCTGCTTCCTTGGTGAGAGCTTGCTCTTTTCTGCCGACATGGGTTCTCACTTGACTGACTCGAGACTGCCATACAGTGCACACGAGAGGTCCACTGAAAATGCAACACTGCAAGCCTGCAAGGATGCACAAATCATTTCGGGAGTTAGTGTAGTGTGAAGTCAAGGCAGCGAGAAAGCGCGAGGTTCAGTGGGGAGCAAAGAGTTTTCTGTTTGAAACTACTGTCTCCCGTTTTTCTGCTTTCTTCTTCGCTTTTCTGCTGATTTTATGAAAATGTATGGAATGGCGGCCACTACGGTGTAATGTTATAGCTAAAGTATAAAAGTTCCCAGATTGTTAACTCTGCTCTGCTTCCACATTGAGCACTCTATCGAGCCGGAGGACTCAGCTCTCTGTAACTCTTGGCTATACATGTAGTTATCTTGAGGTAGTCTGATCAAATGTTTCTAAGGTGTGCAGGAATGAACTCGGATGGAGAGCTTGTAGTTCCTTGGTCTTTTCTTTTGTATAAATGATATTAAGATGAAAAATATACTTGTGACTTGCGAGTTTCTGGGTTTTGTTCTGTGTGCATTATTATGTTGCATTGTGTTCGTTCTTGTTGGTCGCATGTAGATAGCCCCATAGGCATAGATCAAGTATCGGACAACTAGAACTACAGGCCTACCCTGACAATGGATGCCCATGAATCAATAGAGAATGGACTGGAAAGTGTAACGTTTGATGTGTGGCAAGACATCTTGTTGCCAATGTTGTCTATTCAAGACATATTTCAGCTCTGCGGTGTAAGCAAATCCATGCAACGGTTGCTGCTCAATGAGTACACGTTCAGACAACTTTGTTTGGTGAGTAATAATGAATTATTCCTGGTTTTGTGTGTGTATTTATGTCGATCCGTATGTGAGTGCGTGGATGTGTGAATTGCATGTTCATTTTTGGATCAATATCTACGTCAACAATGTCGATTTGAGGAACATTTTTGGTGCAAATTCGTCCCCCTTTCCGAAGCATTTGCCTTGGCTGATTTCCTACGTTCATATTGACAGATGCCCATGTAGAGTTCTTTGTCTTCCCACTCCTTGTCTACGTTATAGGTAACACATTCTCGAAAACATATCTACCTCACATATTCCTTCGGGATCAAGGAATGTTTATCTAATATTGACTGAGTACAAAGGCACGGTTAGCAGTTGGTTCCATGCCACCGTTGGCATTAGGCAAGGTTGCATTCTATCACCCTCTCTATTCAACATTTTCTTGGAAGAACTGGTATCTAGGTCATTAGAGGGATTCGCGGGTTCCATTAGCATTGGTGGACGCATTATGACAGACCTGCGATTTGCAGATGACATTGATCTGGTGGCTGGCAGCGAGGAAGAACTGCAAGACCTTACTGGCCGGCTGGCCAGCACATCAAAATCATACGGCATGGAAATCAGCACTGAGAAGAGTAAGCTACTGGTAACGGGAGCAAGCGGGGGTCTGTCCGAAAGCATAGCCATCGACGGGAAGCAGCTCGAGCAGGTTGACGAGTTTATATATCTGGGTAGCACGATTACTGATGATCAGCGTTCAATCAAAGAAGTGAGGAGTCGGATCGCAGCAGCCTCGGCTGCTGTTGCACGACTAGTAACAATCTGGAGGGATAGAAACATCAGTATCGGCTCGAAATTACGTCTACTCAATGCTATTGTTTTACAAGTATCCATATTCCTTTATGCTTGCCAGTCTTGGACCTTAATGAAATTGTGAAAAAGATTGAGGCTTTCGAAATGAGAAGCTATCGACGTCTTCTCAGGATTCCGTTCACTGATCACCGGACGAATGTGTCTGCTAGAGAGGAAATAAATAGTATTCACAAACAAGTCCCACTTATTGTTTCTGTTCGTAGTAGGAAATTGCATTTTTTTGGTCATATTGTTCGTTCTGGCTGTTTGTCATTGACTGCTCTTCAGGGTTGTGTTGCTGGAGGTCGTGGCCGAGGCAGGCCTAGAATGTCATGGCTTGATAATATTATTTCATGTACTGCACTTGACGTGCAGTCCTTGCTAGCTGCCGCACGCGATAGATTTTTATGGCGCTCGCTTGTTCATACTTGCTCTGCGACGCCCCGACGGCCTTAGGGCTATGGGCTTATGATGATGATGATGACAAAGGCAGTATAGGAAATAAAAGCCGAGTCCCATTAATTTTCGCTGTACCTAAGCGGTCAAATATTCCTGCATATTTCACTCCTTAGCGCTATTGACTGCTTATATTTAACTGCTTATGGGTTGCGCAGTTGAACGGTGGCTAGTACAGCATGGTCACTGCATGAGTAGGTGATTGTGCACCGGTTGTGCAATCATAAAACCGGGTTTCATTGGGTTATCGTTCTGGAATTTGAAATACTGACTGTTTGTCGTGATAAATCTACAAGTAATGATTATCTTCGCCTCGGTCTTTTACTCGGCTTTTATTTCCTATATTGACCTAGTACTCAGTCAATATTATATACGTAATGCAATGCTTTTAAAAGATACAAATGCTTCAGAAAGACGTGCCATGACATGACCACAAGTCCGTGATCTGGGGTATGTCATGGAGATATCACCATTGCCTTTTTTATTATGCAAAATTTGGGGCTTAACTCTGAAGACTAGGCATATACGGATAGAGCCGGTAGAAAAATTGGCAGAATTAAGTACTTTTTCTGGTAAGTTTCATGCATGTTTGGTACGTGGATAAAGAAATGGAGCAGAATTCGAGGAATTGCCCGCAGTAAGGTTTGTATGGTTCTGCCAATTTCACTGCTTTTCGAGCAGAATCTGCCACTTTTTCGAGCAATTTCCGCCAATGCCTACTGCAGACTGAAGGATTTCAATCTCATCATTTTTCTCCCTTCACAGGAGACTCCCTCGATTTAGGCAAAGGCCTGTGGAGAATCCATAAATACAAACACAAAAACCCGTTAGGATCCACCATTACACAGTTCACTACTTTTTCAGATCGTCAAAAACTTCAAAACTACACGAGAACATTAAGCATTAGATGCGCACATGCTTGACTACACGGAGTAGTAGTACACACTTCAGGATCTCCAACGGCATTGTGAAAGCTGATGCGTTTCTTGAGTAATCTATGGAGACTTCTCTTGAAGTGATAAACTGACGAGAGCACACTAGAGCAAGAACAATGAATTATGATGTATCATCGCAACGAAAATAAGGTATAAACAACAGTAACTATAGACAACAGTAGACAATCACTGCCCCCCCCCCCCCCCTTGCCGATGAGTGACTTAAGAGAGCATGTCTGAGAATACCAAAGTATGTGTGCAAGTGGATCTCTCCGATTTCGCTCAAAATTTGCAGGTAGGTTCCCTTTGGGGTGTGGATCGATTGGGCAAAGCCCTTGAAAAAGTTTCTGAAGGGAACCTTGAAATTTGCATACCCCTCTAAAATGGCCGAAATATCACATTATTAATGGGTCTAGAAATGAGTCACGCCACAGCGTATACGAACAAGCTATGAACAAAACTCCATCAAGCCAACATTGCCTCACCTTAGAAGAGTTCCTGGAGCAGTACCGCTTAGCCACGCCAGCATCCCAGAAGACGAGGTCCATCACCCCCTGACGCCACAAATGATCGTCTTGAAAATAGCCAATTTACAAGCACTGGCAAAACAGCCAGCTACGTCCTCAATTGGCCAGAACTATACACCGGCAGATAGTAGAACACCTCTTCTAGCGCTGAGGACATGTCCCCCATCTTCCTTTTGGGGTTTTCTTGAAATAAACTTTTTTGAATTTTTCCACTCGACCATGCTGAAATACGGCCAAAGTCATACCTGCGCAGGAAAGCTCGCCCCTCCGCGACGTCTCCTCAGCAATTTCTGCTCCAACACTACTCCCAAGGCCGCAGAACAAAGTGTAGTGTTGACTCTGACAAGGAAAAGCAGCGATGATCACTTGTCACTCCAAACGACAAGCTTCTCCTTGCGCCACCAATAATCTTTTGTGCGACTGTTGATGCAAAAGTGACTGAAGGCCTAGCGCCTGAGCGCAGTTTTTGAATTTTATTGCAAGATGCACGGTGAAATCACGTGCCTTGTGACGCAGGAATGCCAAGTCGCGTGGCCCACGGCTCACGAGATTTCAGAGTCACCTTTGTCAAGTGCGCTTGTTACTCGCCTTGAACGCCCGTTGGTCTGGAAGTGATCACACTTGTTTTGTTACAGCGCTCAAGAACACGCTGACCGTGTTGTAGGCCTACGAACCGGGACTTTCCCTGACCATGTAGGTCGAAGACCAGTGAAATGATGATGAAATCACATTCTTTATGACGTAAGAAATCTCTCATGCAGTTCACGCGACAAATGCGTGCAGCCAGTGCTGCTCGCGTGCCAGTCAACACAAAGGGACCGAGCTAGCCGCTTTTGTCGAGCATCGACATGAAAACAAGGGACTTTTAGTCTGAGTTTTACTGTTGGACTATGTTCGGGATCGCAGGAGGTAAGTGTGAAAGACGAATAACTCTCCATGCTGTACGGGGCATATTTCAACGGCTTGCTGCCATTCCAACACTCCGAGGACAGTTAGTGGGGGTTCTCAGCATTTCAAGCAGGAAATGAAGCTCATCTTACCTCTGCCATCATGGTTTGTTCCGAGTAGCGTTCCAGGCACATTCGCGATCGATGGCCGCGTACGCGCGTATCGTGAAGCAGGAAGCGTCATCCTACGTCACCATGGTCACAGAGCACGCGATCTCACCGTGCATCTTGCAATAAAATTCAAAAACTGCGCTCACACGGGTGTTTCGCAGCGGCCACTCGTCAAGATGGTGGCAAATCCGAGAGTACAAAAATTTCGACTCTGGCTATGTTCGCGGCGGATGCGAATCTCGCACGTGCATGCAAAATCTAGCCTTCTGCAGATCTGGATAGAGCAAGTGTACGTGTGTGGGAACGACGACTTTTTCCGAGAGAGAATGTGGCTCTTTTCATCCCAACATTTTACTCGCCACGCTCTCCCTCCCAGCTTATTGATACGAGTATCTGCTACCGAGTAGAAGTCTCCATCTTCACAGTAGGCCAGGCAAAATCGCAACGTTGAAATACTTTGCTCACTTGGTGTTTTTGGTCCTTTGAGATGATGTGGCTGTTGTGTACAACTCGAAGTGACAAACTTGAGACCCCCGTGCCACAAAAAACTAAGGCGCGCCACAAAGTTTCGTTTGGCTATTCAATGAAAGGATGTATGGAAGCAGGGATAAAAACTATCGTGGCTGCCGGCAAAACTCCTGGTAATGTAAGAAACGGGGTGTGACTTTGGTAATTCCAAGGAGAATGTACGCACGGCCATTCCACAACGAAGACGAAACTACGAGCTCAAAAACACTCCGATTTTCAAACAAACGACGCAGGAAAGAAGACATGGCCGCAGTGTTCCCGTGTGGTCTTCAAAACACCTAATTTTACTTCGATAGCGGCTGGTTCAGGGCAAATTCAGGCCCAATTCGACAGCGTCGTACCTCTCAGATTCGCCCAAAACACGAGGAAATGTACGGTAGATCCAAATGCGTACGCATTTTGCGTACGGGGACGACTGGCCAGAGTTCATGCACTGCAAACACCCGTGCTCAGGCCTCCAGTACAGTCACTTTTGCATCAACAGTCGCACAAAAAATTATTGGTGGCGCAAGGAGAAGCTTGTCGTTTGGAGTGACAAGTGATCACCGCTGCTTTTCCTTGTCAGAGTCAACACTACACTTTGTTCTGCGGCCTTGGGAGTAGTGTTGGAGTAGAAATTGCTGAGGAGACGTCGCGGAGTGGCGAGCTTTCCTGCGCAGGTATGACTTTGGCCGTATTTCAGCATGGTCGAGTGGAAAAATTCAAAAAAGTTTATTTCAAGAAAACCCCAAAAGGAAGATGGGGGACATGTCCTCAGCGCTAGAAGAGGTGTTCTACTATCTGCCGGTGTATAGTTCTGACCAGTTGAGGATGTAGCTGGCTGTTTTGCCAGCGCTTATAAATTGGCTATTTTCAAGACGATCATTTGTGGCGTCAGGGGGTGATGGACCTCGTCTTCTGGGATGCTGGCGTGGCTAAGCGGTACTGCTCCAGGAACTCTTCTAAGGTGAGGCAATGTTGGCTTGATGGAGTTTTGTTCATAGCTTGTTCGTATACGCTGTGGTGTGACTCGTTTCTAGACCCATAAATAATGTGATATTTCGGCAATTTTTGAGGGGTATGCAAATTTCAAGGTTCCCTTCAGAAACTTTTTCAAGGGCTTTGCCCAATCGATCCACACCCCAAAGGCAACCTACCTGCAAATTTTGAGCGAAATCGGAGAGATCCACTTGCACACATACTGTATAACACCTTTATTTCGGTGTAATTTAAATTTTGGTAACTTCGGTACTGGTCCTGGATCACCTAATTTAACATTACACCTAAATTTTCCGAAATACCAAAAATATGTAAAAAAATTCATGAAGATCACTGTCAAGTTAAAAATATCAACTACTGGTATACCGGTAGTACATTGTACATACATAACATGTACCGGTATACATATGTGGAGCCTTTTGGCCTTGGCGGAGATATTATTAGTGCAAGAGCGTTTTTTTTTTTTTTTTTTTTTTTTTTTTTTTTGGTGCCATGCATACCGAATTTATCCTTACACCGAAAGGTCAGGGGTTGGCTTTTACCGAAATTTTACAACACCGAAAATAAGGTGATATACAGTACTTTGGTATTCTCAGACATGCTCTCTTAACTATCAAAATAAGTGGAAATTTCACATGTGTCTGTTTTTTTATGGATACGTTTTCTTAGTGTGGATATACACAGCTTCTGAAACATTCAACGACCTAGCACTGCGTAAACAACAAAATACAGTATTATAAATCAGAATAACGTTACAAAGCCCGTTATTCAGCATGCTCTTACACAATTATTCATCTTTACTCTACTGTACTTACACTTGTTTGCTCTGGCCTGTATATCACCTGACCAAAAGGCACGAAAGTTTATTCGTGAACCCCATTTCATAAGGGTGTTGCCGAGCCTAAAGTTTGTGCTACTACTCCGAGGTATACATGTACTTACCTTTTTTCTCCTAGGAATCCTCTAAAAACATTTACGTGTAAGTGTTCATTGTCTTGTTTTTTTGTTCCGTCCATGCAGCAACGCTATCATCTCAGTCCACATTTGAAAGTGCCATATATTCGAGTTGCAAAAATTATGTTCATCGCTCACAAAGGAGCCAGTATTTTTGACAACGGCGATCAAAGGATAGTAACAGCTTCTACGATGGAATATATGTCGAAAACGTTTGTAAAATTATTGAGCTTGGCATTGAAGCCACCCGCCTTTGTTGACCTCAAACCGAGCTGGACAAATGCTGCTTTACTTTATCCACTTGTTGAAGGGACTAGCTTGTACCCTCATAAGGCTTCTCTGTTCTTACCGAATATATCTACCAAAACAATCATAGACAGGTGTACGCCTATCAATCCAGAGAGACCGTTCGACGAAAGAGAGTACCGACTAAAAGATATAACGGATTTGTTCCTCGAGGATTGTGGTTCGCTGGAACAGTACCAAGAGGCCATCATTACCCATTTGGACGAAGATATCCGCAAACTGGAGGAATACTTGCCCTGTGCGAATCGATCATCGAGGCTTGTAGTGCTTGCAAATGGACTTCACAGCATGGCCAATAGCGACAAGAGAATATGTTCATACCTGGGTTTAGATCGCTTTAATCTCCCTGCGTTCTTTCCTTTGGCATGGACATATAATCCTTATGTTCAATGGGCTTTCCTAGAGTATAAACCATTCGATCTTTCCGACCCAGTGTTTGCTACTGGTGCATGGATTGACATGTTTTCAAGAGTCACAATCAATCATTCCGTTGTCACCCTCCTGATAAAGGGAGACCTACGCACGTCTCAGGTGGACGATTACTTCACAGCTATGATAGAGCACGAAGACCTATTAAGATGTTTGCCGCAGTCCAGACGCCCCAATCGTCAGGATTTATACCTAGGTTTGGCAAGATTTCTACTTTCATCATCACAAGAACAGCAATATCGTAAGGAATGGACGAAAGTGGAATTGGTCGAAGCTATGGTGGGATATGGCAATAAACTACTACTGTCCAGCAGCTAACTGGCAGTGGAAATACGCAGAGCTGAGGTATAACTTGACCAGCTCATTTGGATTATTCATAGCATATCTTTCATGCTTAAGTCCTGTCAATGTGTACCTATATTTGTGAACAATGCTGACCATTGGTCCGACACAATTTCCTGTTACTTAGTTTGACGTCATTGATATCAAGTTAAGAACTCAACAATATTATAATTATTATTGTTTCCATGCTCTCTATTATTACGTATGCACATGAAGTTTACCATGTGCGTATTTTACCTTCTGAGCCGCTAACGTTTGTCATAAATGCAATCTTGATTTTGACTTTATAACCCCCGTCCCTCACACAAACAAGACAACAAAGTGGCATATTGGTATCATTGAGGAGCACTGGTTTCGAAATACCTGGTTTGAAGCACAAAGTAGAGCTGATGTTAGCTAACCGGTGAGATGCAGGGATAAATGCATTGATCACTCTCTTAAAGGGGAAGTCCGGTGAAACATTTAAATTTCACAGTGCGTAGAGTTCGGGGCGCTGAGTCGAATGGTCTTTGTCCGAGGAGGCTGCGGCCTATGGTTCGTCAGATACGCCCAATCGAACATGTGCGAATTTGAGCGCACATCACCCAGATCCAGGTGATGACGTCACAGCGTGCAGCCAGGTAGCCACACCATCTAGCTGTGTACAAAATGGCCATATTCGGAGCGCGTTCGGTTGGGGATCCGTTTGTCGCAGCTTTTTCGGACCAAGACAATTCGATTCAGAGTCACAAACACTACGTACCCAGTGATTTTCAGCTGCATCGGTAAACCTCGAGGTTATACCGTATTTTAGCCGTTTCCGAGTTGGACTTTTTCCGTCGGCCTCTATCATGCTCTATGGCTCTAGGGCTAGGCTAGCAATGCGCTGCGTGCATGCTAGCTGTAGTGTAGATCTACGAGTCAACAAACTCATCACACACGGAACTACTCCCGCACTGCCGTGCTCATGGTGCTGGGGTAGCTACAACAAGACTCGAGTCACAAGACTCAGAAAACTACCGTATTTCCTCGATTAATAGACCCGGTCTTTTGTTTTTTGAAGAGGGTTGGACCCCCGGTCTCTTATTTGGGCATGGTCCATTATTTGAGCACGGTCCACTATATTTTCATTGGCACATCGCTGGAAATGGTGGATTTTTAACACGTCATAATATAGAACTTGACGTGTTAAAAATCCACCATTCCCAGCGATGTGCCGATGAAAATAATTATAGTGGACCGTGCTCGAATAATGAAAGAAAGCACTAGCCACTACAAAAATTGTAGTTGCGCAACCTAAAATCGTGTCCTTTTTGATCCACCAGGTGCTTTCTTAGTGCGCATGCGCAAAGCGTTGAACTCAAATAAGAGACCATGTGCCAGGTCTCTTATTCGGGCATGGTCTACTATTTTTCCGTGAGGCCTCTAGGAGGGTCTACTATTTCAGCATGGTCTATTATTCGAGCATGGTCCATTAATCGAGGAAATACGGTAGTCAACGCACGGACTTGTAATGTACATGACTCGTATCAGTCCATGTAGTCAGAGAACGTGCGTTTCTCCTTGCCGGTACCGGCGGTTGTGCTTTGAGAAAGAAAATTTTTGTTTCCGCTCCCGCCTCACTATTTTATGCTACAGCGATGAGTGCACAACCGTGACAAGTGACAAAACAGCGAACAGCTCCCGGACCTAGAATTTTCAGATCTCGTAGCGTTGCGAGCGAAGAGTCGTGCCAGTGGTTCAAAGAGCCTGCACTGTTCTCCGAGTAGTCCGAAATATACCAAGTTCGCACAACCTCACCATGTGGCAGGCTACTGGAGTCCAAGCGAATCGGTATGGAACAACATTTAGAGCACTTGCATCACTCTTCTCCATTTTGGCGACTCTGCTCTCCAGCGATCTGATAATTATATCAGCCTCGTCTGCAATAGCTGCTGCTTCTTCATCAGTCGGAAACTCAGTAGCTCTCACTCTTGACCGGCCCGCGCGGCCATTTCTTCAGCTGAATACCGAGGTTCTCAGCCCCAGACCGAACTCATGAAGGTCAGCCATGGCTGCATCCTCACTCTCACAAGGAGTTACGTCTTCGGGGTCGCTTGCACCACCTACTATAATAATATTATTATATCGGTCGCCAAATCATTTGAAATAGCACTGACACTATTGCTTTTACGCACTCCTTTTGACCTAGCTGCACGCTATGACGTTGCGGAGGGTGTGGCGCGGCCGCATGACGTCATGGCGCAGCCCCCGAAACTCAGTTTTTGGTTGGTTGGTTTTTATTTCACTTCGCACATTCAAACGGGATGACGACCCAATAAAATGACGGCGAAGGCTTAGCCTAGAAGTGGCTATGGAAGCACATAGTAAGAGAATAGGATACTAATAACTGCGGGTAAACGGGGGGAGAGAGAGAATACGATGTATCTGTGATACTACGTGCGGGTTACTAAACTGCACGGGGATGGAGAGCAGAGCGATCAGCAGCAACTCGAACTACTCCCTACAGGCGTATGGTACACATGCATGCTTAAACTCAGGTAGCCGGGTAATTGTGCGGACCTCACCAGGGAGAGCGTTCCACAGCAGAGCACCAGCAACAGAAAATCTCCGCTGACCGCGGCGGCTACGGTTTGCCTGGCTTAGTAGGCCATTTGACTGCTGATGGCGGGTAGGGGTGCCTTGTGCCGGGGTCGGAAGCTGGGCAAGCACAGGGCTGGTGCGGGCGTGGATGCACCGCCAGATGGTGATCAATATTTTCTGCCTGTAGAGCTCGCTGACACGGTACAGGGAGTGAGCAGCGAGCAGCGGCTGCATGGCTGTCCGGGGCGGGTTGCCATCGATACAGCGGATGGCTCTGTTTTGCGTGGTTTGCAGTCGTTTCAGTTGACCCTCTCGCATTGCGGCTGAAAAGCAGCAGGAGCCATAAAGCAGGTCGGGCATTATGACCGCCTTCACATACACCTGACGAGAGCGTCTTGATAGGCTTCGGCGTGCCCGCCACAAGGCGCCAATTTTCTTGGCAACCTTGGTGACCACATAGTTTACATGGGTGTCCCAATCTAGGCGATTGTCAAGGTGAACGCCGAGGTAGCGCGCAGAAGACGCTGAGGGGAGGAGACAGTCGCCGCTTTTGACTGTTACTTCCTGTACATGCTGCTGGGGAGAGATAGTCAGAACCTGGCTCTTGGTGGCGTTCAAGATGAGGCCTCGGGACTTCAGCCAACCGGCCAGAGCAGTTGTCGCTGTGGTGAGGGTTCTGGACGCTTCCGCCGCTGAGGCCTGGGAGTCGTACAGGGCTATGTCATCTGCAAATTGTACACTTGGCACAGGCGAGGAAACCAAAGGGACATCGCGTGTGTATATACTGAAGAGGACAGGGCCGAGAACAGAGCCTTGGGGCACTCCGCAGGTGCAAGCTAGAGCAGGGCTGGTTGAAGGCGAGATGAGGATCTGCTGCTTGCGGCCGGACAAGTAGCCGACGAACCAACTAAGGGCTTTTCCAGAAATTCCAACCGTAAGGAGGTCTTGAATTAACTTGTCGTGGTGCACTTTATCAAAAGCCTTCGACATGTCTAGTAGGCACAGCCCTGTGGTCTTGCCACTGTCTCTCGCTTTCTGCAGATTATCAGTCAGCACACAGAGGGCGTCTTCCGTGGAACATTTCTTGCGGAAGGCAAATTGTGTTTCGGGTAATGCCTGGGTCAAGTCCAAATGACGAACTAACTGGTGTTGCACTACCCTCTCCAGCAACTTGGACACTATTGGGAGAAGGGATACAGGTCTATAGCATTGCTGTGGAACAGTTTGCCTAGAGAGGTGCGCACTGTATCCAGATTGCAAGATTGTAAGCTAGCCTGCCTTCCTTATGTATGCCTGAAATAGGTTGTGTTTCGTCAGGCTTTGACATGTTCCTTTCTTCTCAGTATTCTCGCTCGCATAGTACTCCACTTCTATGATAAAGATTGCCTATGCTGTTGCTCATTAGGATTTTGGCAAATTCTACCCTTCGCTTTCGTATAACTGGGCCAGGAACCCGTTGTTGTAGAAGTTTATTTAACGT